CTTGTTTCTTTTGCATTCTGCAGTTTGAACAATAGTTTGTGCTTTTCATTAGATAATGGAGAAGTTTTTGTTGCAGATTGGAATTTTTTTCTCATCTGTTACAACTTTGCTTTCATAAAACCCATGGTTTTGCAGTTGTGGGTTGAGAAAGTATTTGCATATTGATTCAATTATTCCTAAACTTACTTGCTTATGCTTATTTTGAAGATATTCTTAATTGACACCCTTATTTGGGGATTTTGAAGTTGCCGGTTCCCCCAAGTTTGTTTCAGCTCTAGCCTTCCTGTTGGTACTTCAGAGTATCTAGCTAAACTGAAAGCAGTGCTCCTGCTTTTCCATTCACTGCTGCACTAACTGTAGAGCTGTAAGATGCCTATTACTGTTTTGGAGTCCTAGTCTACCATTCCCAATTCTGCATTTTCTCTGAGATGTTTTCTGGATTTCTGGTCAGCGCTGAGAATGATAAATACTGGTTTTGGTATCCAAGGGTTGTAACATAAGAATTAAAAGCTCATCTTGTATAGAGGGAGTCTCATCTGAGCCTCACAAACCTCAATAAGACTGCATGCAAGTTGCGTGACTTCTGAAAAAATGAGGTCTCTGGCTTGTACTTGGCGTTTCATTGTATGCAGAATTGTCATTTTCCTCAGATTTCCTTGCCAATTCAATTGCTTTTCATTTGCTCCTGTGTTCTGGGTAAGAAAACAGCATGTCGAGGTTAATTCAGTAAAAGGGGAAAAAGAGAGGAGTAGACTCTGTTTGGAGAGCTACGGGTTAAAATATTTTTAAGAGTTTTCTTGGATATGGAATCATTTTTGTGGCTTCCAAGTTTTAAAAGCTCTGTAAAAGTCAGACCTTAGTATTCTAAGAATGTTCAGCTCTGTTTCTCTCACCGAGAAATAAATGCACCATGCCTGCGGGGGAGGGGGCTAGTTCTTTTTTTGTTTTTGTTTTTGTTTTTTTTTTTATTAGATGAACTGAAGACCTCTGCAAACTCCTGGATTGCAGTGGGCTTTCTGATCATTTGCCCCTCAGGCACCTTGTGCTAACTAATGGTTCGTTTAGACAGTATCAGTCAGTGGTGTTTGAAAACTTGTTGGTGTTTGTTTTCCACCCTGAGCATCTCTCCATGCGCAGCCCTCACCAGGTGGGCTGTCACTCACCACCAAGCTGGCAGGATCCAGAGATCCCAGCTCACCTTCATTGTCCAGGCAACCAATATCTTTTCCACACCAGCCCCATATCATGGGAGAGGAAGCGGGTAATGGGCTGATCACCCCAAGAACTTCTCATGGGCAAGCTGCTCCATGCCTTGGATCCCAATCCTCACTCTACTCTTCAAGCTGTGATGGAGAGGTGGGGGAGCAGCGAGATGAATCAAGCACAAAACACTGGAAAGTTGCTCACATGGGTTCTTATTCCCAGTCTCCCCACTGCCCCCCAGCAGCATGGTCCTGTACCACCAGAGGAGAGGAGCCGAGAGGACAGGTATAGCAGATACTGGCTGGAAAGGCCAGTGCCAGGGTGACTTTCTGGCCAAGGTAAGACTAGGTGTTGACTGTAGAAGAAGAGTGAGGTTTTTTTATTAAGTCCCGGTGCCAAATTTCCTGGTCTGTGTGTGCTGTGTTATGGTTATATCCACATCTCATGATTTTAAGAGATTTAACTTCATGTACTCAGGATTTTTGTGTTCTTTGGTTTGGGACAACTGTATTGAGTTTTAAAGCAACCTCAATGGTTAGAGGAGGCTTTGCTTTTAGCTTGCTATTACTTCATTTTGCTTCATCTGTCTTGTTGGTTTACAATTCAGACATTTTCTTTTTCTACACAGAGGTGTCCTAGAGGTTTAGTTAACATGGGCAATTTGCAGCTTGTTTGTTTTAAACTTCTGTTGAGATATACTAAATGGATGAGGTAAATCTCAGGGCACCGCACATCTGGCTTACCCAGGCAATGAAACACACTGAGTGAAACTTCAGGAAATTAAAATATAAACTTCCCTGCCACTTTTCCTGCAGGGGCAGGAGAGGGGATGGGTCTGCCTGCTTGCATATGCTATTATGGTATGTTAACACTTTCGGTACTCAGAGATACGATATATTTCCCTCCTGCTTGAGCCTTTGCAGGCAGATAGCGACATCACAGGTGAATGTGATGCTTTGGGATTTGTATGTTTGTGACCTGGGAGGTCAAAACCTTCCTGTAAGATAGACGCTGGCATCCAAGAAACCTGATCGTCTGGAAGTCCCCTGTTTGAACTCTTGTCAGCAAACTCTCTCCTCTTCTGGTTTTGTTTCTCTTGGGACTGAAAAGATTGCTTTTAAAGGAGATCCCAGGTTTTAGGTTAGCATGCCCTAAAAACAGAACTTCTCCAAAATCCCATATGTGAACTGAGTGTTTTGTTCCTCTGTCTTCAAAAGGAGAAAAGAAGCCAGTGAGCCTCATGCTATTCCTCTGAGACTGCTCAAGTGCTTTTGTGCTTTTAAATTTAACAAGTCTGACTCTATAGCATTTTACATACTGTCATTTGCATTGCTCTGGCTTGACATTTTGTGAATAAGATAATTTTTTTTATCATATCTTGTTTCAGATTTCTTATTAAAAGGCTGGGGAGTATATTACAAAATCGAGGGAGAATTCACATTCTAAGCCCATATGCAAAACAAAGCCACAAAAACTTAAAAAAAAAAATAAAAAACATTTCAAATTTCTGAATCAAAAATATGTGTTCTGCCAGGTGTAGCTGGCCTCTCTCCACAGGAGCAACAGTGGAGCAGGGATCATTGCATATGGGCAGCAGCCATCTGAAAGAAAATTTTAGATTGGCAAATATATAGACAAAGAGAATTTATTCATAACCACAAAAGTGCACTAGATCCTGGCATCCTGACCTCTGCTGTATTTCAGGCTGTAAGACTGCATGCAGATATTCCTACAGAGTGGAAAAAAACCAGAGCATTCACATAATTATTGCAGATCTTGGCAAGCTTTTATAAGGGCCACTAATTCATTCGTATGACTTCCTCTCTCCCTCAAGGTTTCTTATACTTGACCTGTTATTACCACACGGTCTTTAACCAAAGAATTAAAGCCAGATGTCTTGTAGCTAGGTCTCCCTTTGTTAAGTATCCCTTATAAATTGTTTTTTCTGTGCAACAGAGAGATCCAACATGAGAACTTTTAAAAATTCTTAAATAATTAAGGCTGAAAGGTTTCTAACTTAAGAGTTGATGTATCCTAGAGGAAAAATAAAAGTTTTATAGCCTCTGTGCTGAGAAATGCTATTTACTCTAGCCTTTTATTATCCTGGGTCTGCAAATGTTCTGATCAATGTTTAGGGTGGAGGTAAAAATCACTCTAAAAAGACCTTTTTCTTTAACAGAAATCTAAATGCCATTTAATGCATTTGGGACATCGGTTGAAAGTTTTTTTTATGTTGCTTTATTGGAATTAGCTTAATTGTGTTGACAAACAGAGGGAAATGAAAGGAAACAGAAATAGCTTTGGGTAATTCCAGGGAAATCTTTATCAGATACTATTTTCATTCAAGTCCAATAACTAATTCTGCTTCCCAGTTTTGTACGTTTTTGGTTTTAATGTGAAAGTGAGGTTAGCTGGAGCATTTCCTGCAGAATGGCTGGAGCTGTCCAAAACATAAGGTTTTGTTTGCATGTTTTAATGGACAGAAATTCTTATCTTCTAGTGTTGTTGATCTGTTCTTTGATTGGGCTGATTACCCGGGTTCTTGCTAAAACAGTAGAGTCAGTAGAATTTCACAGCCATAAAAGCCAGGTGTCAGAGCCAGGTCTCCTGAGTCTCCTTAGAAAGAGACTTTTTTTGACATAAGTTTCTTGTTTTGCTTTTTTTATTATTATTTTTATATCCTTGTTGTTAAGCCAGGCTAGACAAGGAACCAGGATGTTATTCAGAGGGTTTTCTTTTTCCAGGGTTTGCCTTTTGGGAATTGCACCTTGAGTAATTGATTAGAACTGAGGAAGGAAACTCATTAAGCATTTTCTTGCTAGCCAACGGTTTTATGCAAAACTTCTCCATTTTGGTGAAGCATGGGGCTTGTTTGTTGCCCTGTAGCTGTGTTCAGCTGAGTACACTGGAAGAAAAATTAATCGTGCATTCCCTGACATAGCCATAATATTTAATACAAGAAATAAGGCTTGATGTTTTAAACACTCGGTAAGTTAGATATTGCTTTTCTGATTTCTTGCCTTACTCCTCCTGTTTCAAATTGGAATAAGCCAGTTCAGATGAATTCTACATAAAAGCATGGTGCATTTCCAACCCTATTTAGAAAGGTGGCTGATGGAAAAGGAAAAATGGTCATAGAAATAGAGTGGCATGCTTCTTTTACTGTTCATAAATGCACTTCATGCTTTATGAACAGATTCAGTCCCTGGCAATTCAGTCTTAGAGCATATTGACGATCTTAATTTAGGGTATTCTTCACAGTTTTTAAGATAGGACAAGATGGAGTGCCTCTGATGGAGGTCTGAATGAGTCAAAACCTGCTGGGAAATGTAATCCACTTTTCCTCCTCCTTGATGAGCTCTTCTTTTAACACCACTACAGCCAAACACAGATTTATTCACTGATAACATAAATAAGGTGTCCTGTAAAAGACTTAATTCTTCATAATTATTAATTGTGTGCACTTCTCTTTTAAGTGAATTTTTCAGCTGGTCTCCTTGGCCAGAAGCTCATTTGCTATGCAATTTACAGCTACGTCAAAAATTATACTAGCTTCCAGAGCAGATGGAAGCATTTCTGGTCGTTTCTAATCTGGTTGCTGTTACTAGACTCCTCAGAGCAATTGTTTGCGAGTTGTGGAATGCCATTTGGTCTGAAAAAATAAATTTGTTCTGAAGCACATTCCCTTCCTGTCCCCCTCCCCATTCTCTGTGCATGTCTTTTCCATGGAGGCAGTCATATGTTTTCAGTTCTGATGTCATTGGGTTTTTTTTTTTCTCTCTTTTCCCCTCTTTCAGTCCACAGCCATGAGCGAACCACAGTGCTACTACAATGAAACCATTGCCTTCTTTTATAACCGAAGTGGAAAATATCTAGCCACTGAATGGAACACTGTCAGCAAGCTTGTAATGGGACTGGGGATTACCGTCTGCATCTTCATAATGCTGGCCAACCTCTTGGTCATGGTGGCTATTTATGTCAACCGCCGATTCCACTTTCCTATTTATTACTTAATGGCCAACTTAGCCGCTGCGGACTTTTTTGCAGGGCTGGCCTACTTTTACTTAATGTTCAACACAGGACCCAACACTAGAAGACTGACTGTAAGCACCTGGCTTCTCCGTCAGGGTCTCATTGACACTAGCCTGACAGCTTCTGTAGCCAATTTGTTGGCCATTGCTATTGAGCGGCACATTACAGTTTTCCGAATGCAGCTACATACTCGAATGAGCAACCGGAGAGTGGTGGTCGTAATTGTTGTTATCTGGACTATGGCCATCGTCATGGGCGCCATACCAAGTGTCGGATGGAACTGTATTTGTGATATCACTCACTGCTCCAACATGGCACCGCTCTATAGTGACTCCTACCTGGTCTTCTGGGCTATTTTCAACCTGGTCACTTTTGTGGTCATGGTGGTCCTATATGCTCATATCTTTGGGTACGTCCGCCAAAGGACTATGAGAATGTCCAGACACAGTTCTGGACCCCGCAGGAATCGGGACACCATGATGAGCCTTCTGAAGACTGTGGTCATTGTGCTTGGTAAGTGCTTACTTTGCCTCTCCTGTTCTCCCCTTTCTGTTTCTTATCAGGTGGTTTCAGTAATGCATGTCCAACTTCTGGGAGGGTGGCTGCATTTGGAAGACACTAGAAGAGGTGGGGGCAATAAGAACCCTCAGCATTCATTACTGTGTTGGGAGTATCAAGCTTATTTGTGGAACTGGGTATAAAAGACTTGGTCCCTCAGCCCTCTAACATGGAACTGATGAAAATCCAGGACCTCAAGATGTAAGGTCATGGTTTTTTTGCAGCAATGCAGTTTTAAAAACCTGTTGTAGCAGCCTATCCTGTCCAGTGTTTTCCTTTTGCCTTTGAAGATGCCAAATGGCTGCAACCTTAAAATAGTACAGGGAAGGATCAGTCTTCCACTGATGCCCCCCTTGTCTCCTTTTTGCCACCCAAAAGCTGTTGTGTGTATTCAGGCAGTGCTCTCATGTCTGGAGAACAGTGAGGGCTGCAAGGCTATTGATGGGAGGATTTTGCATGTTAAACAGGACTGCATGTACAGTTCATTCAGGTCTATAATGCTTGGCACCTATGAGTATCTACGAATTTCCTAATACAGAAAAATAGCATGTGAGGCACCAGTGTGCTTCAGCACGCTGCTCAGGAGGTGCCTAAGCTCTAGGGCTTGGAAAACAGGGAAACGTGATAAAATGCCATGATGCACTTTGGAGTCAGAAGGTACCTGTCTTCTTGTGAATGGCTGTATTTGGGTTTTGCTGTAACTCTGTCTCCTTACGCAAAATCACAGCCTGCATACTGGGTACCATTCCCTGATGATGTTCTTGCAGTTTGTTCTGCTCTTTTTTGCTGCAGATGGTAGCAAGCTGCAGGCAGGCAGAGATGTGCAGGTGCCAACCTGTGTTCCTACCCGTGAGGTCCTCCAGGATGGTGCACAGTTCTCTTGGGATCCCTGTTGCATTGTGAAGTTGCACTAGTAGTCCATAAATGCAACTGTACACAGCCTGTAAAGCCCAAATCTTGGCCCAGTTCTTGCTTCAACATCCTGATTTCCGTGGCTTTACTCCATGACCTCTGCTTTCTAGCAGCTACTGTCTGCACAAACACAGCAGAATAATTGCAGAGATTTGATGTGAGTCACTCTGTCAACTCATGTGTTAGTTTAAGAATGCGTGCTGCTCTCTGACCTAGCAATTAACTTTGTAACCAGAATATAAACTTTGTAGTTGACAAACCTGTTCAACCATTGATAACTCATATTCTACGTGTCCTGCTTTTCAAGGAAAGAATCTGTATGAGTTTAGTGAGGGAGACTGAAGTGGTGGGTAAAACCTCTCCTGACTCCCTGGTGGTTTAGAAGTCTCTCCCTCCCCATCTCTGTCATCCTCCTTGCAGAAAGCAAGATGAGGTTAAGAACACAAAGAAAAATGCAGGTTTTGCAGTCATCTTTCTAGGAAAGAGTTCCTTGTTTTCTGTTCATACAGTGGTGGAGGTTAAAGACTGACTCAAAACTTTTAAAAAAAAAAAAAAAAAAGGGTGGGACATATTAAGCACTTATACCAGTGCAGTGCAGAGTTGTAGGCATAAATAAATAGTCACTGAATAAATAGCACATGGCAGCTAATCCCAAGCATGCAGGGGACTAGAGGCATGTATGCAGCTGGAAGGCCAGGTAGTGACTGCACCCTCCTCCGTTCTCCTATAAGCAGAAGTCACAGGGAAGATGTACTGGCCACCCAGTGTGGCCACAATGACCTGGTTTGAGGTTTACAAGGAACTCCAAGTAGCTTTTTTTTTTTTTTTTTTTTTTTTTCCCCATTTGTGACAAGTACCTTATTTTTTCCAAGTGGAGTTCTGGAAAGAGCAGAACAACTGCAGAGGTTAGGGAGCATTAGCCAAATTGAAAGTGACTTAAGTTTAGCTGCAGATGTAGTTCAGTAATGTCTATGATTCCTCACTGGGCCTATTTGAAGTAAGAGTTTTCACAACTGGAGGTAGCACATGCTGAAGCTTTTTTCCAATTCAAACATGACCTTATTTATTGTCACTGGTGCAGTTAAATTCATTCAGTGTTGTGCACACACTCTGCTTCAACGCCTCTTCTAATCTGCATAAAGCACCATTTACAGAGAAGTAATGTATTATTTTATTAAATATGTTTGAAGAAAAAAAAGGCATTTCCACCCTGTGACTATTCTTTTTTATCAAAGCAGTGTGGTTTCTCTGGTTGGAGGAGGTCAGTCATAGGGCTATAGTGTAAAGAAGCAGCAGTGCTTTCACCTCTCTGTCACCTGTGAGACGCAGTTGTGAGATTAAAATGGCTGGGAAACAGCTGTGGGGTTTGTTGTTATGGGTGTTTTTTTTCATAATAATGAAAAAAAAAAAAAATAGCCTGAAGCCATGTATGAGGCATGGGGGCAACCACAGAGACTTTTGGGAGGTTGAATGTTCATACATCAGGGTGTTAAGCAGCCTGCCAGCTGAACCATGAGAAAAGTTCATTAGTTGCCATCAGTTGTCAAGTGCCTGTCCCTGAATATTCCTGAATTTGTGCTCCCAGTGGAGGCTTGTTTTGTGGTTCTAAGGAAAAAAAAGCTAAGCATTGCTTCAAAGTGCTGATTAGGCACTATCTCTGATTGCAGGAGATGGTGCCTGTTGATGAGGCGGGTGTCCTGGTGCTCTGGCACTGCTTGCAGTCTGCTGGCAAGTCTGGCTTAAAATTTTCACAAGTAGAAGATTTAATTTCACTCTTCCTGAGTGCCTTCTTGCAAAGGCAGTCAGAGCATCCTTCTGCGAGTTTACCTGCTTCAGCTTTGGGAAAGGCAGAGAAAGGCGGGTGTCTTAGGCTGCCCGGAGCAACTTGCTGAACGTTTATCTCATGCAGTCTGGCTTTTTCTGCATCAGTGAACCTCAATAACACAGAGGAAAAGACCCCCCTCCCTTTCTTAATGGTGCAGATCGGGGTAATACATTGCTGTTTTAGGCAGAAACCAACTTTTTGCTGGAGGTGGAGAGGGAAAAGGAGGTGTTTCAGTTTATTCTTAAGGTCCCTCTCCCTCCTGTCCTGCCTCCCAGCTGAGTGGGGAAGGGAGCTGGTGTGCGTCAGCCCACTTACCCCAGAGGAGGCAGTTCATTTGGAGGAGACAGAGGATGCCTTGGGAACCAAGGAAAAACAGAGCTGGGAGTCTGAGTAAACCTATGAGCGTTGGCAGAGGGAGGCAAACCAGTCCTGGTCTTAGCGTCTTTGTTACAGTGCTGCTGAGCCCCGTCAGTAACCCCCTTGTGATTTGGGCAGCAAACGAACTGTTCGTTTGGCTTTTAAACTTCCATAAACGGGTCTCCCTGAAGCCGTCCTGCTGGCTGTACTCCCAGGCAAAGCCCCGTTGATGCAAGCAGAAGATCGTCTTTTCCCCCCACCCCATCCCCATCCCACCCCATCCCCATCCACGCCATGTTTCAGGGGGTCAGGAGAAGGGAGGGAAGGAAGACAAGAGCTTCTTGTTTGCTGGCTGCCCAACGCCGCCTGCCCTCCTGGCTGCCCTGGCTGGAGGAGGAGGAGAGGGGCGGCTGCGAAGGGGTGCAGGCCTGCCGGCGGCGATGCTGTCAGCGTGCGCGGGGCGGGCGCCAGCCGCCCCTGACAAGGGGGTGATTGTGTGGGGAGGGCTGTGGGCCCTGGACGGGCTGGACGGAGCGGTCGGGATCTGGCACACTGCGTCATCCCACCGAGCAGGGGGGGATGCTGAATCCTCCGAACAAGTCAAAAGCAGAGAACAGATTTTTTTTTTTTTTCTAATTTTTTTTTCCCGATTTTTTTTTTTTTTTTCCCCTTTCCATGCCCTTTTGTTTTCTTTTCCTTGAGTAAAATATTTTAAACAGAAGGAAGTGATTTCATAGTCGAGCCCTTTTTTTATTTTTTTTTTTTTTTTCTTTTAACAAGGGTGCTTTTGAAATCTTTCGAAAGTAACAAGGAACATAAAGCTCTTTCTCTAGAGCATGCCTTTCCTTTGCGCTGGGGCTAAGGCAGGACTGATCTGTGCGCTGCACATAGCCATAAAATCGGGTCTGGTTTGGCTTGCAGCTCAGTGACACTTCACCTTTCACCACCACCATGTGTTACATTTGAATGAGCAATCACAGGAACAGGCAGAGCGCTAGCGGATACGACAGCTGAAAGTTGGCATCCTCTCTTCCATTCTCCACATTTTCTTATCTTACATTTAAGGACAAAGCTGAGCTGTTCTTCTGGTGGAGGTCATAGTTAGGCTATGAATGCGTTTGGCTGGGACAAATGCAGGTTTGGCCCAAAAAGGGTCGTGAATATCTAACTACTGCTTTAAGAAGCAGTGAAAGCATCGAAAAAGTATTGGAGAGCTCAGGGCTGGAAAAACTAGCTCTGCTCTGGATTTCCGTGGCCTGGAATAAGTCATGAGGGGCTAGTGTCTTTTAGGGGTTCATATATACCCACGGTTGTAGATACTACCGGCTTAGATCGTTAACTGTTGGAAAGTTAGCTGGTACATTTTCCTGCCTAAATGCAGATTAAACACCCATCCTTAATTTGTAGGTCCATGTTTTTACAATGTGGATAACTCTTCCCTATACCTCCATACATGTCTTTGGAGATTCCTCTCTATTTAGTCATTAGACTGTGAGATTATGGTACTGAGATTTCATAATTGAATTTTAAATAGCAATAGTAGCAACGACCGTTCTTACATGTGTTTTACCAGTCCTGCCATTTAGCCTTCTGAGTTGGGTGAGTTCTCAATGGTGTTTGGCCAAAATCGGGCATGCCTGTTGAGCCAAGCACCACTGCCAGCCCCCAGGACACAGGGAGAGCAAACAGTGAATTCACAATTGCTTACCCTTTATATTCCTGGGAACTAAAAAGGCACTTAGGCCTTTTCTGCCTGTAAGGCCATCCACTTTGTTTGGGGGAATGAGCTTTATTATGTAAAATTTGGAAACTAATGTAGGCACAGATAAAAAAGTGAAGGTTCTTTTTGTGTAAACTGTTT